AAGCTGGCAGTGCTGTCTCAGGAGTGACAGTGTGTTGCTGGAGTGCGCAGCATAGCCCGCCTCCCTGGGCTGTGGGCGCAGGGCTTGGGAGGTGCCTATGGGGAGAGCTCCACATGTGTGCATTCTCTTCCCCTGCAAAACTACCACAAGCAGATTTGGGCCTCTCTTGATCTCGATAATTATAATCTTGGAATCTGCACCGAAATAAAAGGCTTTGGACTATCAGAGAGGCACTTACAACCTGGGTGTGAGAGCAGAGTGGCACCTTGCCGAAAGGCCGCCACACTCCATCTTGAGAGCAGGGAAGGGGCAGCGCTGGGTGGGCCAGGTGTCTGTCGGCAAGCAGTCCTCCAGACAAGGGCCCGGTGAGGCCATCACGGCAGGCGACTACAGACCCCCACAGGGAAGAACATGCCAGACACACGCTGTCTACAGCTGCAGCTAGGACGCAGCCCCAGAGAACAGGCCTGGAGGGGCTCGGGAAGGGCTCCTGGCCAGCAGCAACGCCCATCAGCTCCAGGGGCCCCAATGTCCACAGCAAGCCTGAGCCTTCCCTCAGGCCTCTGAGAGGTGTGGGGGCCCTCAGCTGCCCCTTCCCTCTTGCTGGACTCAGAGCTCCACCCACGGTTTCCATTGCAGGACTTGGTTCTGTACAGCTGCCCCTACTCATGCTTTCTGGATCAGGGCTTCGAACCGGTTCATTCCAGTTTGAACTGCTGAAAATTTGCATCTCCACCCCAGATATGCTGAATCAGAACCTACATTTTAACAAGATCCCCCACCCCAAAAAAAAAAAAAAAAAAAAAAAAAAAAACACACTGCCGTCAAGTCAATTCTGACTCATAGCTAAAGGACAGAGTAGAACTGCCCCATAGGGTTTCCAAAGAGTGCCTGGTGGATTTGAACTGCCAACCTTTTGGTTAAGCAGCCAAGCTCTTAACCACTGCGCCACCAGGGCTCCGAAGCAAGATCCCCAGGGGATGCTTATAGATAACAAATTTTGAGAACCACTGCTCTACTAGTGGTTCTCAGAAATGGTCCCTAACCAGCAGCATTAACATCACCTGGGAACTTCTTAGACACACAAATTCTCAGGAGGGGTTCGAATTGGAACAAACCAGTTCAAAGCCCTGGTCTAGATGTGATTGCCAAAATGGCACCAGTGGAAGAACTCTGCAGGGACATGTCTGTGGTGTGGCAGAGCCGCCTGCTGACCACAGCTGAGCCACAAGACTGCTCTAGGAGTGCGGCGAGACTTCCTGAGTAAAGAGTGAGAGGAGGCAGAGCGGGTGGGGGAGGCGACCCAGGTTGCTCCTCCTAGGCACCAAGGGCTGGGTGTGGGTCTGGCACACTGTCTGTCCCCTGGGCACCATCAGCCTCATCTGGCCGTGGTCCCAGAAGAAACACCAGGAGTGGGCTGTGTGTGGAGCAGGCTCAGGGTGGTGGCTGGACGAAAGATCCGAGAACAGAGCCTTGGGTACTTGGGGAGCCAGAGCTTGCTGGCTTGCTGGTCACTTGACAACATGTGACAGGTCCAGAAATGAACTAACTGCGGACTTCCACACAGATGGGTGGCAACAGCTCCTCTTCCAATGGCCAGCAGCAAGAGCCCAGGAGGCCTGGGACTGCCCCCCCAGCACTCCAGGTGGACAGGACCATGGCCGCCCCAGATTGCGGGACTGCAGGACCCCATGATGAAGAGCAGCCCTCCCCCACACGCCAGCTCTCCCAGCTGTGGTCAGGACCCTTTGAGGACTGCCTGTCAGAGCCTTCATCCTGACACAGGGGGAGGGACAGACAACTGTCCAGAGAGGCTGGGATATTGCGGGCTCATGGCAGTTTCTGTTCCCGCTTTTCCCAAGGCTTTGATCTGAAGGCACTCTCCATTCTGTACAAAAAATCTAAGCAAAGCCCAGCTCAAGCTCAGAAGTGTTTATACACAGAGGCATCTAGTCAGACGCTCCATCCCAGTCGCATTCAGGCCACAACTGGTTAACTTCGCGGGGCGAATTCGAGCCCTGCGCAGGCTGACTGTCTTCACTCAGCGCCGTAATCGGCACATCTGCAGACAGGAAATCCTCCGCGCGGCGAGTTCCCAGTCTATTATCTGAGACACCTGGTGTGGGTGGGTGATTCAGAGACAAACAATGAGCGGGCCCCCTGAGCAGCAATTAACTGCCTTACCAGCTCATGTGATTAATCCCCCGCGTGGAGATCAAGGCTGCACAGGAGGACTCAGAGGCCTCGCTGCTGATCCCTCACTCTGTGTCCTTGTTCCTCATGGCCGCAGCCCAGTAGCCGGCACCACTCTGTGGGGCCACGTGGGCAGCCGGCCACAGCAGGCCCCGAGCAGACCCAGACACCCCTGCCGCGCACACCAGCACTTCTGTGCATGTGTCCGTAGGGGGCGCTAGGGAGTCCTTCCCTTTTTTGTTTTTAAAGCCCACGTCAACAAACCCAGCTTGGTTGACCCAGCTGGCTCCCTTTGGACTGGAAAGCACAGTCAGGGAGGAAATGTTCCATTGCCAGCTGTGCAACATCTGACAGCATTTGATTTTAACCTTCGGGAGCAGATCATCCTTTATTGAAAGTAAAAATAATGGCTGGCTAAAGGCTTATCAGTTTATCCAGCAGAAAACATCCCCAGTTCCTCAACTGGGAAGTGGCTCCTGAATGTTTACAAAACTACGGCCCGGAAGCCAGCAGCAGAGTCAGCACATGCCCAAGCAGCCCCAGAGGGTGCGCCAAAAATCACCGCCGCCACTGTGCTGCACTCCGGGAGCCAGGGTCAGAGGCCAAGGGCTCCGAGAGCTTCCAGCCACAGCATAAATCAGACTGCGCAGGCTGTCTGGGGGATGCCCTTTTTGAAAATACAAAAAATATGACTCCCAGTGAGGGAGGTGGACATTCAGGCCACAGCAGCTCTGTTGCAGGGGACTCCACCAGGGAGCCGGGGGCATGCCGAGGCTTTCCAACGACTCAGCCCCATGCCCTCTGAGCTGCAGTCATCATGGTAGGCAGGTCGGGTGTGGAGAGACATCAGTAAGACAGGGGGCTGCCATGGAGAGGGCAGGACCCTGTCACCTCACTGCTTAGAATGGAGTTCAAGAGAATAAAGATTCACTTGTCCTTCTAAGGGAGCCCTCGTGGCTCAGTGGTTAAGGGCTTGGCTGCTAACCAAAAGGTCCGTGGTCTGAATCCACCAGCTGCTCCCTGGAAACCATATGGGGCAGTTCTACCCTGTCCTATAGGGTTGCTAAGAGTCAGAATCAATTCAACAGCAATGAGTTTTTGTCTTTCTAGATCTGAAAAGTTACGTTATCTTTCATAGCATTTACCATAACAAAACTCCTTAATACTCTTGATCAACAATATTTCTCCTGGTAGTTTATCAACTTTAGGTCAAGATGCACAAAATTCACTTCAGGGCACCTGGGGCTCTTTCCCAGCTTGTTGAATCTGCCCTGTGTCTGCTCAAGAGTAAAGGATCCAACTACTCCGCCAATGTGCTCCCATTTCTAATTTCCATTCATTCCGAGCAACTCAGGGAAAATAGACTGGCTTCTCCAGAAATGTGCTGCTTGGTGGCACAGCTTTATCTCTCACCCCACCCAGGGGTGCTGGGACCCGCCTGCGACAACAAGCCCTAGGGAGCTCAGTAACACCATGTTATGACTGGGAGCAGACAATGCTCCTGACAGTGATACTGCTCTGGACTCAGCTCCCGGGACAGGGTCACCACAGCAAGAAAGCAAAAACTCAACTGCTCCAGCTTTCAAAGTGTAAGTTGACAGGACAGTTGAGAAAACTAGGAACTGCAGGTCACAAGGTAGGCAGGGACTTCCAAGCAGGTGTGCTGTACCCACTGGCCATACTGCCCTCACTAACGAGGACCCCTGGTTCACGGACGGCTGGGGCAACCACACAGCAGGTATAGGGTGGGGACAGCGTCTGGGCTCCCCTCTACTAGGTCGGGTCCAGACCAGGATGCCTTTCCTCCAGACTCCCCCTCCCCCAGGCTCAGGCCGCCCCCTCCTAGTCTCCCCTAGACGCCCAGCCCCAAGCAGGGTCTCCCCTGGCTGCGCCACACTCTCCACCCCTCTCCTCAAGGGACCAGAGGTCTGGAGTGCAGGCTCGGGGGTGCAGGGAGGGCTCAGCCCCTCTGATCTCCCCGCCACCCTCGCCTGTTGGAGGGAGTTGTCACAGCCACATCTGGTCGGCCTTCACCTCTGTGTAAAGTAGGATGCATGCTTCCCAGAAAGCAGGGTGAGAATTCAGATCTCCCAGGAGCGAGGCAGCAGCCAGCCCCACCCACTGCTGGGCCAGAAGGCCCCAAGGCCTCTCTGTACCCTCCCTGGACATCATCTTTGGAAACCTTTGAGGTGTGGGCACTGGAAAGGCCAGCAAGACCCCCTCCTAGCATGCAATGACCCTGCAGACTCCAGAGCCAGCCACTGGAAAGTATCAGGAGCTGTAAAAATGCTGCTCAAAACTTACAAATCTGGATCATTTGCAGGTGCTAACAACGGCTAGCTTGAAACTATAATGGAAAACATCTCATTTGCTAAAGAGAAATATACCTAGGCTAAACCTAGTAGGGAACATATAGGACTTATGTGAAAAAACCTTCATAAACCATCTATCTAAAGGGACATGAAGTCAGGAGGACTGATTGGTCTCCTAAATAAAGACGATCTAGCTGCCTGCTTCCCACCATCCAGACCTCTTCGATGTATGGTTTCAAAACAAGGTCAGATCGTGCTGGGGAACACATGAAGCAGCTCGGTGCTCAGGACAGTAAGATGGACGGGTCGGGCGTGCTGCCCAGTGGGCCCTGTGTAGAGAGGGGCTGTGTAGTAGCCACTCAACCTGGGAGTCAGCATGTGAGGGAAACCCTTGGAGCTGACAGGAAGGAGATGAGGGCCCCTCTCAGGGACTGCATCCCTTGGCCTCTGCCTGGGGACCCGAGAGACGCATGGGTGTGGCCCGGCACCCCTTACCAACAGCCCACAGGACGGTGTCGAAGGTGCCCGTGTCCTGCCTGCCAGAGGCACGGTCCTCCCAGGTCACCTGGAGATGGCCATCAGGGAGCCTCCTGACCTGCAAGGGTGTGCAGCCTCTCAGGAACTGTGTGCCATGAGACGCCATGTGCTCTGTGACCAAGGAAGCCATTTGCTGCAAGCACAAGAGAACACGCGTGAGAACCAGATACCACACCACAACCTTGACACACAACCCTGAGAGGAGAGGGCGTGCCTGGCCCTACTCGGGGCCAGCTCCTCGCAACACACAGAGCAGAGCGAGAACGCATCTCAGTGTAGACACAGGAAGGCAAGATGTGTCCCCTGACATGATGGTGCCAGGCCCAGGGCCACCAAGGAAGCTGGACTGGGCAGGGAGAAGAGGGCATGGCAGGAGGCCTCGGGAGCCCAAGAAAAGTCTGTCTGGAGAAGGCGCCCAATGCCCTTCTGACAGGGGTCCTCATGCAGGCTGCCCCACCCGCTGGGCCTCCTCTTTCTCTCTAAAGCTGGAGGCTTGGCTGGGAAGCATTAGCCCCTCCCAGAGCCACATGTGTGGCCCTGGATCCTTTGGTCAGGATTCACGTGGTATTATGGATTGACTTGTGTCCCCCAAAAATATGTGTTGTAAATCCTAACCCCTACACCTGAATATTGAATATACCACGGACTGCCAAAAGAATGAACAAAACTATCTTGGAAGAAGTACAGCCAGAATGCTCCTTAGAAGCAAGGATGGTGAGACTTGGTCTCACATACTTTGGACATGTTATCAGGAGGGATCAATTGCTGGAGAAGGACATCATGCTTGGTAAAGTAGAGGGTCAGTGAGAAAGAGGAAGATCTTCAACGAGATGGATTGACACAGTGGCTGCAACAATGGAAGCATAACAACAGCTGTGAAGATGGCACAGGACCTGGCAGTGTTTCGTTCCATTGTACATAGGATCTCTATGAGTCTGAAACCGACTCGAGGGCACCTAACAAAAACATAGTCCAGTTTGGGAATAGGTATTCTTTTTTACATTAAGAAGCCATATCAGTGTAGGGTGTTTTAGCCAATCACCTTGGAGACATAAACGGAGCAGAGCAGGACAGAGGAGCAAGGAGAGATGGGGGAAGACAGATGCCATGCCACAGGAAGATCACCAAAGAATAGAAGTTGAACAGACAAGGACCTTCCCTCAGAGCCGACCCAGAGAGAAAGCCTTACTCTAGAGCTGGCACCCTGAATTCAGACTTCTAACCTCCTAACTAAGAGAAAGTAAATTTCTGTTTGTTGAAGCCACCCACTTGTGGTATTTCTCTTATAGCAGCACTAGATAATAAGATGCATGGCCTTTGGCTTTTATCTAGATGCTACCTCATTTAGTCTTTACTAAAAACATTAACGGTAGAGAAACACCCCTTCTCCCTTGCCCTGCCCCCAGGCTAACCAGATGTAGCTGCACCCCCCCACTGGCCCTGTTTGTCCAGTGCTGTCGTTGAGCACCTGTCCATGTGGCCTGACCCCTTCCTCTACCATTGGGTGGGGACCCTGCCTCTGCCCTCACACCTGGGGGTGGGGGTGGGGGCATCTGTGGAGAGACTGCTGGCTTTCCCTCCTAGTCTGGGAGGGCCATGTGCACCCAGCTGCAGTGGGGGCCCAGCTGGGGTGAGGGTGTGTGGGAGCAGACGTCCGGCTGGAGCAGGCTGGAGGCACAGTTGGCCCACCACCTCTTCTTTCAGGAGAAAATAAACAGTCTCCGTTTAAGTCCTCTCAGGAGCAAATACCTGACATTTGCACAGGTGTGCCAGCTTGTTCTGAGCAGCTCGGGGAGAACCTGTGTCTGGGATCGAGGGCTAGGTGGCCTCCCTCAGCAAAGGCTGCGCCCTGATGGGTGTCCTCCTTTGTCCCGGGGCTGCCTGTCCTTCTACAGCCTTCTGGCTCCTTACAAGCCTGGGACATCTGGCTACAATCTGAAGGGAAACTGCTGGGCCTGCTCGAGTCATGCAGCTGCTCTTGTCACCCTAGGCCTGCTCGGGCCACATGGCCGTTCTGGTCACCCTGGGTCTGCTCAGGCTGCATGTCCATTCTGGTCACCCTACGCATGCCCGCTGGAATCGCATGTCCTCACCCCGTGGGATGTGCATACTGCCTCCCTGAAGCCGTCCCATGTGCCATGCCTCAAGGTTGCACCTTCTCCTGGGCACACCTCAACCCTGTCCTCTGCTCTCCCCTGACTCACTCACTGGTTATCCCACAGGGTACAGACCAACCATGGGCCACTAGCCATGCTGGTGCCCTCAGCCCTGGCTACTTAACCCAATGAGCTCTGAAGGGCCTGGTTCTCCTGGACCCTAGCCCACCACGGGGCCACTGTGGACCCCCTGAGCCAGGTGGAAACAAGGGGCCACCTCAATGCTGCTGATCCCCACCTCCAGCCCAGATTCTCCTGAGCACCCAATGTGCACCAGCCCAACGCCAGCCCTGGACCCCTAGCATCCGCACCTGGATCCTGCTCCCCACACACGTTCCCACTCCACAGCAGGCCGGAATCCACTGCTTCTCACTTGCTCGCTTGCTCACTCACACCTGAGGACTCACATCCCTGCAGACCTCCAGCTCTGCCCTGCCCTCAGCAAAAGGGTCTGCAGAGAGCCCTGCCCTCACCCACACGGAGGTGTTTTTCCAGCACCCTCGGCCCCTACAGGCCCCCTTGCCTCTCAGGCCTTGTCCCCAACAGTTGCACAACCTCCTCGCTGCTCCTCTGTCACTGCCCACATGCTCTCCCTGGGAGGCATGAGGCTCAAATGCTTCCCTGGACCACTGTGACCCATTGTGGGCACTTGGCAGGTAGGTGCTGAGTGACGTGGTGGATGACTACAGGTGGAGGATATACTCACACACGTGCCAGGTACAAGATGGCCCAGCCGAAGGGAGCACACACCTACTCGGGCAATTCACTGGCCCGGGGAGGACTGTGTGGTGGACTGGGGCTCTGCCACTCAGGGGTCTTCTCACAGGGGTGGGAGAGTTTCACTTTTTGACAGTTGCTGGGGCACATCCTGGGGCAGCACTGGGAACTGGCCCTGCCACCATCACAAACGGCCTGGCAGCCTGGTCCTGGGACAGTGCTGCTCTGAGAAGCCTCCACCGGCTGTGCTCGCTGCCTACAGTGTCAGCTCTGCCCATGGTGACTGACACTGCCATCACGGCTGTCTATGGAATCAGGTGCATCCAAAGGCCTGCTGGGTCCCCACCGACTCCTCAGGCTGTTTCTGAGCTTGGGTTAGCCTCATCCTTCTCAGACCCCAAAAAGGCTCAGCGAGGAGGGAGCTGGGAGATGGGGTCTCCAAGCTAGGGGCAGTGCCTCTGCCGCCATGCCTGCCACTTCCTGTTGGAGCCACACCCGGCTGCAAGGGCTGACCTGCCCAGTGCGCCAAGGGCCTTCAGTTTAGCATGCTATGCCTGCAGCAGCTGCACGCATGCCCTGCGCTAACCCTGCCCTCCACTCTCTGGCACATGCGCTTTTATGTTTTGTTAATAATCTAGTTCAATGCTGGGCCAGTTTCTAAGGATTCAGACCTCACTCCCAGTTCACACCTGCACCAACCCTGGGCTGGCAGGGGTGGAGGCAGGGCCATGCAGCCCTCAGGGGCAGAGCAGCTGGGTGGGGGCCATGGGGCATTACCTGGTCAAAGCCCCGCAGAGGGATGCTGCGTATCATCACCGTGGTGTCCAGGCCCATGCCAGAGAGGAAGCCGGCACACTCCAGGGCAACGTCTGCCAGCGGGTGGGTTAAGGAGGGCTAGTGAAGGCACGAAACCACAGGGGCAAGGTGAAAGCCCCAGTGCCCAGCCAGCCCTGGCCCCGGGAGAAGGCTCTTGGGGCTAGGGGAGACACAGAGGCCTTGCACACAGCTCCTTCCTGCATAGGTCCTGAGGGCGGCAGCGCTGCCAGCCCGAGCAGAGGGCATTTCCTCTAGCCCCGTGGAGAGGCCGGCCCTGCAGTTTAACCTCGCCAGGGTCCGCATGGCGACAGAGAACCTCCAGCTGGGGCTTCCAGGGAGGAAGAGGCCCATCCCTGACAGACATGAGGCAGCCGCCGGTGACCTATGCTCAGCAAACGCTTTCATCTACCCCAGGTCCTCTCCCCTGACCCCAGCACTCTGTACTGCTCTTGGAGCTCCTGGTTTACTGCTCTCTCTGAAGGACAAAGCCCACGTCCAGCTGCCCCAGCAGGCTCAGCCCGTCCTGGTGTGAGTCTCAGGAGACACCTCCAGGAAGCCCCAGCCACAGGAGGTCAGCCTCAGGTGGTCCCAGAGCAGAGGTCACCACCCCAAGTGGCCTGGTAAAGTGGTGGGCTCCAGGCAGCAAAGCACCTGTCCTGCGGCCTCTACCCCCAGGAAGGCGAGAGCAGCAGCCTGTCACCTCCATGCTAGCAAAGGATACAGCTGGCCCCAACCACCAACCTGCCAAAGAAACAGACAAAGAGCAAAGTGAGTTTCTGTGCATGGTCCACAATAACATACAGCAGCTGCGTCGGTGTAGAGGCCTGGCCCTGGCTCAAGCAGGAGTGGACACCAGGCCCCGCAGCCCGGGTGAGGTGTTATCAGTTCAACAGGGGCTGTGAAAAGGTACAGAACCCACTTCCTAAAGGCTCCGGCTGAGAAGCCCACGGGTAGGGTGCACCAGCACGCGTCCTGCTGAGCACAGTCCAGTCAGGAGAGCAGAGGGATTTCTTCTGCTCTCAGGCAGGCTTGGCTGTGGGTCACTCTGGGCCTCCTGGGCCAGGGTGGAAGTAGGGGACACTTTACAGGACAGTGAGCGTGAGACTGGGGAGGTTCACTGTCTGTAGGTAGAACACACTCAGGCCACAAAGAGAGGCTCACATGTGCCCAACCAGCCCCACCACAGGTGGGTCTGATGCCACGATAATCAAGCCCCTCAGAATTCACTGGATTAAAGAGCCAGGGCCAAGGGTACCAGGGCAGCAGACACAGGACACTGGGACCAGCGGTGGAATTTTACAGATTCTCCAGTAGTTCAAGTCCTCTCTGTTTCTCAACTCCACACTCTCCGTGCACACATGGATGCACACATATGTACATATGTGCACATCCGCACATACATATATGCACACACATACAGGCATGCACATGCACACACACACACACACACACAGAACCTAACACAGAACGAAACCTCCAGCCCAGGCGCGGCGCGTGGGTGGGCTCGTCAGATCACCCCTCAGCCTTTGAACAAGAGGAGGTGATGTAAGGACGGATAAACCCAATGTCAGCGTTAATCCCAGCAGGTACTAATGATATAATTCCATTTCAAAAAGCAGCATATCCTTTGGAATACTTCTGCAGAGGCCCTGCGGGAAACAATCAGTTTGAAGCTTCCTTAAGGGAGCTGGGGACAGAGCCGCGCAGGGAGGGAGTCACTGTCTGGGCGAGCACGTGAAGCTTTGGCTGACCGCTGGGCATGAGATGGTCCTGGCCAACCGTGTGCCGCCCTCAGCAGATTGAAGGGGCAGGCACTGGGCCTCCCTCCTACGGGGGTGCAGCTCCATGGAAAAAGATACACCAGTGCACGCGTGTGCAGACACGTTAGTGTATTACACCATCTATGTCTATCTATACAGGCTACCCTAGGAGACACGAAAGGTTAAGTGCTCGACTACTAGACAAAAAGTTGGTGGTTCAAACTCCCCCAGAGGCACCTTGGAAGACACGCCTGGCAATCCGCTTTCAAAAGGTCACAGCCTTGAAAACCCTATGGAGCGGTTCTACTCTGCACACATGGGGTCACCCTGAGTTGGAATCAAATTGACAGCTACTAACAACAACATATACAGGTACATTTCCAAAATTACAAAACCTCAACTTGTTTGGACTCAATGTATATGGTGAAAGGCGTGTCTTCTTTCTTCAAGATATGAAATCATGAGCTACTTTAAAAGAATCAAACAGGTGTGGGCTTGAAGCTCCCACCCCGGGTGGCCATCAGAGTCTGGTACCCCCAGCCCCCCGCCTACCAACTCTGAACCGGTTACTAAGGCACAGTGTCAAAGGGACAGAGGCCAGCTGGGGAGGGCAGGGGTGTGCGGCGGACACATTCCTAAGTGGGTGACTGGACTGTCACGTACCACAGCATGCAGGTGATGTGGGACCTATTCTGTCTTCATGAGCGAGGATATCAACAGTGTTGGTTTTCATTCCGCCCTCACCCGACCATTTATCTAATAATGTGAATGTCTATTCTTTAGAGAATTCACGATATGAGAACTCAACCAGGGAAGTCCCTTCAAATGGGCTAGAGTAAGACAATGCTGGAGCAAACTGGAAGAAGACACAGACTCCAGATCACAAGCAGTGGAGATTCCAGGAACATGGGGCACCGTTCTATGTTTTTAACAGTAGCCACAAGCCACTGACAAGCTCTTGGCCTGGATGGAGGCTAGGGTGTAGACAAGGCTTGTGGGGGCCATGGGGCCCACTGCAGGGGCTCCGAGATCCATTTGTCCCTGGCCGGCCAGGGAAGGGGCATGGGGGTGAAGGGCAGTGGTGCTGGCAGCAGGGACCAGCTCCTCATCCAGGGAGAAGAGACCGCCCAACCAAGACTCAGTCTGAGCCTCTAGGGACTGGAAACACTGGACTTAAATGACCAGGAGCGAGCAGCCTGAGCCTACGCCGGTAGGTACCTCCTTCAGTCTCTGGTCCCTGATTCCATTCTAAGTCAACTCTGGGCTGCTCCACTCTGTGCCTTTGAGTGTATAAACAGTTATACTGAGGCAACTACCGTGGGATTTGCCTAATCACAGGGTGGGCTTTTTTGTTCAAATCTGAATGGGGGAGGAACAGAGACAAAAGCATTCATTCAGGTCCCCGAGGCCCAAGCTCATAGAGCTCTCCATCTGCCTCTCGAGTTGAAGCCCCTGTTCCACTCTCCAAGGACACACCTACCCCAAAATGAGAACCTCGAGGGAAGCCCTGGGCCCCTGACAGGCCTGCAGTGCAGGAAAGCCAAACAAGAAGCCAGTGCCCTGGGGAGGCAGCCGGCAAGGGGGTCATGACCCCCATCCCACAAAGCCTCCTTCCTGTGTGCCCCCCTCCAGCAGTAAGGGAACTGGTCACATAACCAACACCACCCTGAGGACGTGCCTCCTCAGGCCGACCTGCATGTCTCAGCCATGATACGCACTTGGGGACATGGGTAGCAGGGCTCTGAGGACTGGCGACCAGGCCCCAGGCAGACGGTGCCTCTCACTTGTGCTGGACACAGGACGTGGAGGCCAAGCAGAAAATGAGAAAATAAAGTGGTAATGAGTTCTCTTAAGCATCCAGCTGTGGTTCTTCCTAAGATAAAATTTACCTCCTTCCCTTTTGCACTTGGGAAAAGGGAAAATCATTACAGTGCCCGAGTGGCTTCTGGCTTTATATATTAAAAAAGAAAAACAAACCCACTGCTGTCCAGTTAATTCCAACTCATAAGGACCCTTAGGACAGAGTAGAACCGCCTCCATAGGGTTTCCAAGGCTGTAATCTTTATGGAAAAAGGCTGCTATATCTTTCTCCCACGGAGCAACTGGTGGGTTTGAACCACCACCACCCTTTTAGTCAGCAGCCGAGTGCTTAACCACTGTGCCATTAGGGTTAAAAAAAAGTTCCTTCCACGACAACTTTGACAGGCAGCATGAAATCAGCTCAATTTACACAAACACCCTCCCTGTTTTTTCCCCCCTAAAATCTTCACAGAACACTGGGGATTCAACAGAAAGTGCCGGGCTGTTGGCGGTCACCGCAAGACTAGGACAGCCCAGTGCTGGCTTTGCCCCACCTCTGAGGTGGGTTGGGCAGTCCTTGATGCTTTGGAAAAAGTAGGCCACCCAGAGGGGAGCCACCAGCAGGAAGCAGGGACTGGCCTGGTTGTTATCTGCAAAGAGAAACTCAATCACCTTGAAGGTTCACATGCAGGAGAGCCGCTGCAGACAGCTTCACTCTGACTCCAGTCCCCTTTGCTGCAGAGAAGGGCAACAACGCTAAAGCCCAAATCTGCCAGCTCAGAGCCTGGCTTTGCTGACAGCCGACCTCCAGACACACAGCAAACCCTGGCAAAGGTGGTGGTCACCCCAAGGACCAGGGAGCCACGGGGCAACTGGAGCAGGGTGACCAAGATTCCTCATCGTATGGTACCTGAACCCTGAAACCTTGCAGCAGGGGAGAGGCCCAGGGTCGTGGAAGTATAAGAGGTAGAAGCAAGAGGACCCTCTGGCCTGGGCCGGGCAGGCTGGGAGGCAGGGCCCAAGTTCCTGCATGGTGGAGGCAGCCCTAAGGTAAGCAGAGAAACCAGGAAATCACATGGGTTCGCAACCCCAGCCTTGACCACAGTGGACCCTCACCACCCCCTCGAGCCTCAGCCATGCTGGGCCTTCACCCCCCTCTCAAGCCTCAGCCATGCCAGGCCCTCACCCCTTCTGAGCCCCCATTTCCTCCACTGGCGGTGGAATAGCTGCTATTGTGCAGAAGGTCCAGCTGCTGCAGCACCCACAGTGGTCATTCTTCCCCTGACCATTCCTGCCCACCATCCTGTCCCTGTCCTTCCCCCACCATCCTCCTCACTTCTCCCACCTGTCCTGGAATTCCACAGAAAAATAAGGAAATAAGAACAATGGAAAAGGAAAACAGCCCAGACACAGAGCTAATGTTCAGGTGGTGGAGGCCCTGAAGGTGCAGGACGTGGAGCAGGCTCCAGGGCCTCCCGGCTCCCGCATACCCTACCCCCACTGGAGGGCTGCTCCTTCTCTCCCAAGGGTGCGACTCCTACCCTCTCCCGCTGGCCTCAGAGGATTAGGTCCCTAGTTTGGAAGCTCATGCTGAACTTCTGGAAGTTTCCACACTCGACCCCTCTCTTCTGGCGTCCTGAACCTGCTCAGGGCACCAATCCTTCCATGAGGAGCATCGGTTAACTCTGTCCCCATCGGCTCTGTCTGCCCGTCTTTGCCATTTGTCTAGCCCTGGGCTCCTGAGACCTGTGCACAGAGTGAAGGGTGGGGGTCTTCAAATGCCCATAAGGCTGGGATGCCTCTGTGGTCACAGGGGCCCTAAGAGTGCTATGACGCCTGGGTGGCCTTGGCCTTTGCAGGAGGGCGAAGCAGCCACAGGAGGCTAAAGAGCCGCAGGTTCCCACTGCCGGGCTCCACTGGCCAGAAACCGAAGCTTCTGGTCACTGTGCCCCACACAGATGCAGACAAAAAGGACAGTCCCAGCACCCTGTATGAGGTGGGGAATTGCCCTGCTACCCTGTGTCCACTCATGGGAGGGAGGCCGGGAGGGAGGTCCTGTGTGCAGCTGCAGAACATAGAAGGACTGTACAGGGCTGCCCATGCCCACCCTCCCTCTGGCCTCAGGGGCACAGACCAGCCCACGCAGCGCCCACGGGAGACAGGAGGCACAGGCATGGGCGGCTGCAGAGCGCAGGCGCGCTGCTCACATGGGCGAGCAGCCATCCCTACACTGGCTTTCCCGAGCCAGCCGGCCAGGCCTTCTGGACGAAGCCAGCCTTGACCATCCCCACATAGCTCTGGGAAGCGCTCTGGGGCCAGAAGAGCAGCCCTGAGGTCCATATTAATTTCAGCTCCATTTTAAAGGCGAGTTAAAATAAACATGAGGAATATTTATAAGGCAAATAAATCTAGCAGAAACAGCCCCTCCAAGTGTGAGCGGCAGCCTCCCCCTCAGCCCCAGCCCAAGCTGATAAAATACAGAAATGCTACTGTAGACCCTCCAGGCTTATTTTGACTACAGCCGAGGAATGTAACATGTAAACACTGACTCCCATATTACACTGTTACAACTTGCATTAACAGCACCGGACAAAAGCGGCATTTTCACAGAAGCATCGTACAGGGTTATATCTCCAGCTTAATTTTTAAAAAAACCATTTCCTCACATAAATCATGCTCAGAACGAAACGGGTGACTGATACATTGCAAACACTTTTTTTCTTAAACAATAACATACCTAGATTCCTTCTCAACGAAAGAGCTTTTAAAAAAAATCTTCTAAATGTTTTTTTCTGAAGAAAATAAACACTGCAGTTTCTTTCCTGACCAAAATATCTGGGGCCGTGTCTTCCCGGCCTCGCCGGCCACCCTGGCACACACTTGCCGAGGAGCTAGCCTGCCCCCAGGCTGCCTCTGGCCAGCGCCACTACACACCCACTGTGCATCCCTCCGAGTCAGCCCCCTCGCAGAGGCCACAATTACCGGGTAAAGGGAGAAACAAGCAAAACCCAGCACCTTCCAGGGGCTGGGCTGGCAATGCTGCTTTTAGAACTTAACAGAAAAACTGCCAAAAAGCACAATAATACAGACAGGGATGAAGGTGACAAGAAACGCACGGGCCCAGGACACAGAAAACACCACACTCAGCAACAAGCAGAGTTGATGGGGAGGCAGCACCAGGAGCCACACAGTGAGGCCACTTCCATCTCGATTCCAGACGGCTGCAGGGAAAAGCTGGCAAACTGTATGTACCACCAGGTGAAATCGACAGCAGCGAAAACCAAGAGGGGAACACTGTGCAGCGCAGTGGGGAACACGTGCGGCCCTCGTCAAACAGACGAGGATGCCGGGGGCTCGAGTCCAGCTGCGCACTCGGGGCTCAGCGCAAAGATGTGACTTCCAGACCAGTCAGTGGGCGGGGGGACAAATTCACCCACACCACAGACTAACTTAAAAGAAAATCTGACTGTGGAAGCTCTAGAAAAAAATATTGCAGTTTTCTAAAAACAATCTTGTTGCCTTTCTGAATATGCACAAAATCTAAAAGCCATTAAGTGTAAAAAGAGTTTAAGTTACATTAAAAAAAAACTATTTGCACATTATAGGCTATTGGTCACCAAGTTAAAAGCCAAATAACAACTGAGAAACTCTGTAACATAAACCACATGGGAGTACATTGTTACCACACAAACCACCTGAAGGACAATAAAAGGACTGTGTTGTTAGTTGCCATCAAATCAGTTCCGACTTATGGTGACCCCATGTGTGCAGGGTAGCACTGCTCCATAGGATTTTCCAGGATATGACCTTTCAGAAACAGATAGCCAGGCCTTACTTCCAAGGCACTTCTGGGTGGGTTTGAACTGCCAACTGTTATGTTAGTAGTCCAGCGCTTAACCATTTGTGCCACCCAAAGACTCCTAAGAAAAGAATAAGAAAAGGAAAAGGTAGAAAAGCAACATAGAAAAGCAGGCCAAGGACCAAGCTGACAATTCACACGCATGCACACATACCACACACACTCATAAACACCCAGAGACACACTGACACACTCTCACACTCATGCATACATACCACATACTCATACACAAACACATACTACACAAACGCACACACTCAAATTTTAAGTGGCCAGTAAACCCGTCAGAAGCTCCCTATACTAACTAATAACAGCAAATGCAAATAAAATGAGATCACATTTAACCTATCTGGACAAAATTTAAAAAACAGATAACCAGAAATCATTGCATAAAGGAAAAAAGCGATGAAAGTGACAACACAAAAATTAAAAACATACGCATGAAAAAGTATCACCAAGTCAACAGACAAAACACAACCTGGGAAAAACCATGGAAGGCAACTGGCAGACGGGTACATTCACACCAGCCTGAGCCCAGCATGGTCCTGGGAAGGACGCGGACCTGCTATAGGTGAGCAAGCGGGCACTCCCGGGAGTGGTGGGCACCGCAGCAGGAGATGAAGCACCTTTCCACATGATGCCTCATAAAAAGCTGATGGTGGAGGTGTGGAAGGAGGGCAGCAGGCAGACGTATGTATGTATCGGGATGCAGTTGTGGGAGGGAGGCCTATTAGCACAATGGGTTAAGATATGAAGGGCATTACTCTTCAAGTGGCTTTTCTACTGTTAGAAAACACCCCTGACAGGTATACAAAACGCACAAGAAACACTTACATGGGTGTATAAGATGCACATCAAAGACTTTAACTACACCCTTTGTGACGGTGACAAATAGAAACAATTGAGGTACTCATTAATGGTAGGAAGGTAAAACGAACTACACAACATCCATTCAAGGGATTTGAGACCTGACACCAAATAAACGGGCCCCATAAAGTGTGAAAAAATGATGAAGACAAGCAGAGCACATGATACATATGCACACACACACACTCCAGCTCGCACACAGAGGACACACGCACACACTCCTACTCTCCCCTATACAACACCCACTCACACTCCCCCACATGCACCTTCCCCCATACGCATACACACACACGTATGCATAAACACACACCTGCACAGAAACACACGCACACAGGCCTGAACACACACACACACATGCACATATGCCTGTCTCTAACCACACTTTTCCGCTGGTATTTTCTTGAAGGCAAGTCCCAGAGGAAGCAAAGCTCCATGATGACCAAGCCTCTGCCGCCCTCTGGTGGCCTCTCTGGTCCCTGCGAGCATGAAGTCCCTTCTGCATCCACACGCAGGAGCTCCCAGATCCATAAAAGCCCTTTCTGTGGCCGCAGAAAATGCACTCAGAGCACTCTCACTTGATCCAGGAGTGTAGAACTATCCACACCTGCAGTTCTCGCTCCCACACTGGGCTGTGGTTTCCGAAGCCTTTGAAGCCTTTGCTAGATTTCATGGAAACCCACGTGTGAACCAGATGACAGTGGGGACATTTGATGGCAGACAGGGGAGGGGCCAAGGGCTGGTCCTGCTGTTCTCCTCAATGCCCTCACCAATGTCCATGACGGCACCACTGGAACCCCTGCAGCTTCTGGGACCATGTTGGAAAATCACTGCTCTAGACACGGAACTCACGTCTAAGACAGTCACCGGATGCAGAGCTCCAACAGCCCTGCAGAGGGGACGGTAAATGGGCTTTCTTTGCTTTTTCTAAATAAAGGGAAATGAGTGTGCCAGACAGAGAGGACCAAAGCCGGGTCTACGCATCCCTGAGAGTCCCTCTGGGAACAGACGAGGACATGCATGCCTGCACGCTTGGGGCCTTACGTTTTTCCAGGGGACTCCTTCAGCCAGAATATGTCATCACTTGTAATTCCATACTCCAAGGCACCTTCAACCTATCAAGAAACAAGGATCAACATGAGAAGAGTGTCGTTTGGTCTCCTACAGGTACTTCCTAAGAAAGGCTGTCCACTTCGCAGACACAACTCCACCAGAACCAACCCAGCTGACATGTGGCTTCTGTGGGGACAGAGGTTGGCCTATCTGTATTTGACTAGGAGCACCATCTGCCTGGCCCCCAAAGTGTCCAAGTTGTTCCCTTGCTGTGATGGTGAGGCCAGCTGGCCACATGTCCTCCAGATGGGCATGGTAGGCAGGGAGAGTCTTTCTTCTCTGCTCTCTGGGAGCTTGCCCTTGATTTAGACCCCGGGCACCAACCCTGAGACAGACATGAGAGCTGCAGGGGTCACACAAAGAGAGCAGCCATCCCCCACAAGTCTGTCCTCGGTGCTTGTGAAGGGGAGAGATGAGAGGTGTGCACCACAGGGCTCCAGGAAGGCCCACTATCACAGAGAGGAGGCTGGGTGAGAAAAGGCCAGCAAATTAGTGGCTGGAGAGAGTCCTCAGGGCTTCCGGCGACAGGGACAAGGGCAAGCACTGCAGTGTCAGTGATTGAGGAAGAGCTGTGGAGCCAGCCAGGGAAAGCCCTGTCCACAGAGGTGGGGGGCTGCATGAGAGGGTGAGAAGTGGGCTGCAAGCAGGATGCTGGGCCTCTCAGGATCAGGGCTGGAGGGCAGGAGAGAGCCTAAGAAGAAGGATGGGTCCAAGTCTCATCTCCAAAGGACAAGGCTGAAGGCTGGACACAGCGGGCTCCCTCAAGGTGCCAGTTCAGGTGGGTTCTGTGCCCCAGGAATTGCTACAAATCACCCCAATATCCCGGAGACAGCCTGTCCCCAGGCAACCTGAAGAGGAGCGGCTGAGCATGTGGGGAGATACATGGAGCAAGGGCCCTCTTCCTGGCCTGTGAGAGTAAGATGTGTTCATAGAGAGGAAACAGATTTCAAACAGTTTACAATTCCAATTGGCAAAAAAAAATAAAGTCAGGAATTCTGGGGTTTGCTCAAAGAAAACTGAAAGGTCTGTAAAATCAAATGGAACTACAACACAAGCAAGCCTCAGCAGGCAGCACAGGGAGGACACGGCAAGCAGGGCAGTGGGTCATCCCCGGGCAGAACATCAGCAGAGCAGAGCGATCGCTGAGCTGCATCCTCCAGAACCCAAAAGGTCCTGCTTCATCCCACGTTTAGGTGAGCCAGCGACATTAGTAGCCACCCAGCGGAAGTGCAGCAGGGTAGGGCCAGGCCAGGATCTCTCTACAGGGCACCTCGGGGTGTGTGTGTGTGTGTGTGTGTGTGTGTGTGT